GTAAACAGAATTGTATTCACCTTAAGCTCAGTGAAAGATACCATTAGATGATGAGACAAACCAAACAAGTCAGAGAAAGAAAAATGATGAGCATTTTCTATGCATCTCAACAATATCTATCTACCAATAAAGTTCACAAAACAAGCTTGAAAATAAAACCAAACAAGTGCAATACCTCATTTCGTTATGTGTTTTTATATATTTAGTTAATGGTTTTTTTAAGTTGGCTTTTTATTGCCTTCATTTATCAGTGGGAGTAGGTTTTCTAAGCCAACGAAGGGTGATCAGAGACTTTCTTTCATGTGTCATATGCCATTTTGGAAAGACACACTGCAAAAAGTAGAATGCATGTACTTCCTAATGCATGTCTATACCCAATAGGTTCAACATTTTCTTTTACTTTCTTAAGCTCCACAAAATAACACATCAATAAATGAGAAGAAAACAGGTGGATTCGATACATTGAAGGTCCTCAATTTAGTGGCAGCAGTACTACTAATTTCATGTGATTTAGTCATGTGAGACGTTGGGACAATGAGTGAGCTTGAAAACAAATACAGCATATATGCCCGTAGTAAAGCATTTGAACCCCACTGTAAAATATGATATAGAAAAAGAAACTTTACAATGTGGACAAACATAAACTACGTTAAAAGTTTCAACCCAAGGAAAATAATTTTGAAAAAGATGCACCATATTTCTCAATACACCAAACTGTAAATGATCTGTTTAAACTGCACGATGTTGATCTTTCCCCAGCTAATGGATGTCTTGGCGCCAATTACAAAGAGAAACATGCCCATTTTATCTAAAAAGATATGGACCTTCTCTAAGCAAGAATAGACATTGTGCCAAAAAGTTCTAGCCAATAAAAATTTTAAGAATGAGTTTTGTTAGTTTATAAAAAAATGCTGGCTCTGTGAGTGGAAAAATGTGGAGCTTCCCTTATGCAAGCCTAGTAGGTGTAGCAGCATTTAACATTTGGAAGAACCACTGGAATTTGTTAAATGAATGACCTTTCAAGTATTTGTTTCCTAAACTGTAAAATATACTGCCTTCCAAAAAAAATCTAAACAGGGCTGGGATGGTCAGGAAGAGGTTGATATGATACAGAAACCCAACCAATTCAACAGAGTAACTTCAAGGACCGAAGCTTCCAGAGTTCTGGTTTTCTTTTTTTTTTCTTGAAAATCCTGGTTCTAACCACGCACTGCCTAAAGACACCACCTTGGACAAGAACCTTACCAAAGCTACTTGAAATCAGAAAGGTCCCCGAAAAGTAAAATTCTTTGTCCTGATGGAGGCTATGGATATGTCAACGCAACAGGGAAAGTCCAAAGAAAACATCCTATGTGCTAGTTTTTGACTAATTTCGCGTTCTGCATAATCAATCAATTAGAGTCTAAAAGATAAAAGTAACAGGCAAAGGAGAGAATTGCTGTAGGGAAATTATTACCTCTGCTGGCGTAGCTAGAATTAAAAGATATTGTATTGCTTCAACAAAAACACCAGGCTTGGATTTGGTGAGGCCAACGGCACAGATGGCTTGCTCCTCCACATTAAACTCAGGACATTGACCATCCCTGACCAACATGAAGTGGTAAAGTAATAAAAAAAACACAATAAGTTGACAAGGTAGCAAAGCTTCGATGAAAAGTATTCAATAAACACCTAACAAGTTACTTTCAACTTGTAAATTATATACTTCTGTTGTTTGCCAAATGAAATACGCATTTCATAGTTTGCAATTGGTGGAGTGAAATCAATAAAACTCTCAACAGCATTTATTTAACATGTGAACAGCTTCCAGATAGGCTTTTTTATAGGACTGCTACTACTGTGTTAGAGAAATTAACAGTAGATGTACATGAAGCTTCCAATTCATGTTATTTGGTCAAACTATGACCGACCTAATAGAGTATTCACAGGGAAGATTTTGGACTTCTTAACATCCATGAGCATTTAGACCAGTTTGTGTGCATCTTGACTATTCTCACAAAACAACCATATAATCTACTATATTTGGTTGTCAAGGAAACTCTTATTTTTCTCAGATGAAGATTTTTTTTTTTTGTATTGATGTATGAGTTTACAAAAGAAGGCCATATGCCCAAACCAAATGATGTCAAATCCTATGTAAGCGACTATCATAACTTGAACTCTTTCTCCCTAAGTCCTATACTAAGAAATATCAGGAATGCTTATAAAGGTATTAATAAAGGGTTTTTAATAAGAAAAAAAAAATAGTAGCATGGTTGTAATTGTGATATTTCAAGACAAAAACACAATTGTATAGCGTTCCTTGAGGACTTTCTCCCTCACACACGTGACTAATTCACAATGCTTACCCATTAATGTGCCAACACAAACCTTAGGTTGCTAGGTGACTAATGGGTTCATAGGTTGGCTGGGACTGGATTGAAAAATACATCACATTGGTTGCTCCGGTTCCAATTTTCATTTTATCCGAGAAAAATAACTTTATCACAAATTTTCCACTCTAATATGGAGAAGAATATCAATTTTCCTACCTCAAAACACATAGCTCTTTAAAATATTTAAGTAACAAGGTTTCAACACTTCAAAATAATTGATTCTTTGGATATGAAAAGTCAATTGATGAAACATTAACTCCAAAATCATCACAGTTGCAAATGCATTAATGTTAACAATGACAAGAAGACATCCAAGTGCAACAAACGATATCATGGATCACAATTAGATTTCAAAATATACATTAATGATGGAATTATATTATCTAACACCGCCAAGTTATACTCACCACTTGTCAAATCGCCAAAGAAATAAAGAATTATCAACAGATGCCCAAGCTCTTCGTATTTCCGGAAATATTCCACATAAGGCAGTTCCTTCCCCGCCGGCGGCATTATATCTTTCTATAAGCACTTGAGGCAACTCCCAAGTATCTACCACTTCCACCAGAGGGGGCCACTATAAAAGAAGTAATGAACATGATGCCATGTTTAATACAATTTCTCAATTCAACCAAGTAAAAAACCCGACAAGGCTACTAATAGAAGACGCAATGTTAACATTTCTTGGAAATATCAAAACTTCAACAATAATAATAAAATTTGGTGATTGCAAGACCAAACAAATGTTTTAAAAAATCACTATAATACTAAACATACACTAACTTTTAAACGAATTTTTAGTCAACATCTAGTCAAATTCATGCAGAACTTGCTAGAAACTTCCATTGAGAAAAATATCAACTTTTAAAACTTGTTTTGACGTAGAACAAAAGAAGCCCACAAATATCACGTGCCGAAAAGAGAACAAACTACTAAACGAAAAAACAGTGTATTATCAAAACCATAAACCACCATTCGTTAATGCATTTATCCATTATTAAAAAAAAAAAAAAAAAAAAAAAAAAAAC